AAAAACACATTCTCCTGAAGAACAGGCAAACAATCCAGGCTCTGCTAAAATAATCATTGAAACAACACAGCAAAAGTGTAAAAAAGCATGTTTTTTAACTTCTAGTAGTCAGGATGAGATGACCATTCCATAGCAACACTATGAAAGTATGAGCAAATGAATGAACACCTAAAAAAAATTTCAGGCTGCTCAAAAGGCAAACAGATTTCTAATTCAAAGTGAAGGAAGCACAACTTGCTATTAAAATAACTTTTAGCAGTATCACACTGCTGCTGCTAGGTAATAGACCTTATTCACTTTCTTTTGGTCAACATTTCCCTGGAAGTGCCAAATCCTGAGGAGAAAATTTTGCATCTTTGAATGCATAACACAGGTTATGAGGTAGCAATAATTCATTTATAACATTGGGACCTAAACAGTTGCAGTAAAAACCAGAAGAAAGTAACTTACTACTCAAAGAACTAATGCTACTATCAGCACAATTTAACTTCTTTTGGGGGTAGAAGAACAGTACTAGGGTTTGAACTCAGGGCCTTGCACTTGCTAAGCAGGTGCTCTACACTTGAGCCACACCTTCAGTTCTTTTTTGCTTTAGTTACTTTCAGATAAGGTTTTGTACTTTTGCCTGGGACCCACCTCAGACTACAAATCTAATTTTGCCTGTAGCAAAAGTAGGATTAAGGACAAAAACCATGCCTTGCTTATTTGTTGAGGTGGGATTTTGCTAACTTTTGTCTATGCTGGTCTTGGACTGTGATCCTCCTGATTTCTACCTGCCGAGTAGCTGGGATTACAGAAGTGAGCACCATACCCAGCCATGATGTAAAAGCAGTACAGAACTGGTACATACTAAAGATAGTACTGGGCTGGCAGTGTGGTGCAAGTGGTAGAGCACTTGCCTAGCCTGTGCGAAACCCTGAGTTCAATCCACAGTACAGCAAAATACATAAAAATTTATAATTCAAAAAACAAAGAAATATAACACTGATACTGGCTAAGAGATCAGGCATGGAAGCTACTCAAATCCCAATCAATTAGGTTTTAGCTACATATTCTTGGGCAAGTTATTTTATGTTTCAGGATCTTCACCAAAAATAATAGGATAGAGAGCTTTATGAGGTTCTTACACCACCACTAATTCATGCAAAATGTCTAGCATAACACAAATGCTCAATAAGTGTTACTATTAGTTACTATAACAATGATGATCTTATAATATCAAAATAGTCAAAGATAAACTTGACTGTCACAGAAGATAGATTTCAATTATTAAAACATTTAAGGAACAGAAAAATCCAAACATTTAGTATAAAGTTAAAAGTTATACACTTATGAGCTTGGGCCTCAAGGAGTTTATAAGGTAAGCACACATACTAGTCATAATTATTATAAATATAACAAAGAGAGGCATATGGATTTATTTGACAATTATGCCTCAGTAACAAGAAAACAAAAAAGCAGAATTCTCTGAGGAACTTGCGAAAACCCCATAAAAACATTTTCAAGACTTCAGCAGCTCTGGATTTGCTATCAGCAAATCACCAATCAGAAATTACTATTCTCCATGTCTCTTTCAGGATATACACCTAAATGTGACATCTCTATTGCTTCTAAAAGTTAGAAGTTTACTTCGCATCAATGACAATGTTGTTTGATAAGTCAGCAACATTTGACAGCATAGGAAATAAGGACTTGGAAAACTTTTCAAATGGCTTTGACCTTCTTTCTCAGAAAAGAGTTGTTGCTTTTGAAAACTGGTTATAAGAAGGGTAAAATTGGTATCTGGATAATTATACTCATTATAGCTCACGTTAGTGAAATGAGAAAATTATTTCAGAATCCTGGTACATTAGAAACCAGAAAAAAAGTAACTTACTAACCAAAGAACTAATGCTACAATCAGTACCATTTAATTTCTTTTGGGGGTAGAGGAACAGTACTGGGGTTTGAACTCAGGGTCTTGCACTTGCTAAGCAGGTGCTCTACCACTTGAGCCACTAATTTGCACTAATTATTAGTATAGACTAATAATTAGCAACTAGATAATATAAATTAGTATAATTTATATACTAATCTAGTCTGGAGGACTTTCTCTGGAGAAGAAAGCTGCATTGACACATGGGAATTACCTAATTGATAAAAGAGTTTATTTAAATAAATCACAAGAAGCAAACAAAGCTTTATTAAAGAACTGAATGTGCTTTGAATGCTCTGCAGCCTCTGGCAAAAGAAATTTGCCTCAAGCCAAGGAAAATGGATACTTGAAGTAAAAGATGATGAGTCATGAAAAAGTGACAATGTACACAGCTACTGTGTTGTTAGCCTAGCTCACAGCAGATGGTAATGGTATCTCAGGGACCATACTTGGAATGATTCCATAAGATTTACCGATAGCCTTCCTTTCTATTAATGATACAACTTTGGGTACTGACTTGAAGGTTTCATTTGGTTAAAAGAAACATATGGGTCTGTATCTACTTTTAAGCCACAGCAAACTAGATTCCAAAGTAAGCTGGATGATCCTACAAGTTAATACTCTGCAGCCTGATCTGAAAGAACTGTGTGTGTACATAAATATAAATACATAAATAATGTATAGATCCTTTATAAAAGAATACTAGTCATGATGAACTGACTCAGCATACTGTATCCATCTGATGTTCATTTGCATTAAGTCTAGAAAACACTTTCCTCGCTGAGCAGACAAGTATAATTTGCCTAGAACAAATCCTCTTAGTACCTTGTACAAATCTCTGAATTATCTCAGTCAAACTGGTGGATCTATGAGAAATGAGGGAATATTTTTCAATGCTTTTGCTTGTGCCCTATAGCAAATAATGAGAAAGTCATAAAGTACCTGACAAACTAAAACTTGATGGCAAAGAAACTATCATTGGCTATATGGGGCAAAGCAGGTACTGAGTAAAATTATATCAGAAATGCTAGCATTTATTGTGTATCAGGCACAGTGCACTAGAAATACAGAAGCAAAATAACAGCTATAATGGACTGAGTGGTTTCCATGAATTGGACATTATTTAGATGCTCTATGAGTAAAAGCTCATTTTAACAACTTAGTGAGGTAAATAGTATTATATCCTCCTTCCATAGCTGAGGAAACTGAGAATTTAAGTTCCAAGTTACGCAGTAGGTACATGCTGCTTTCGGGATGTGAATGCAAGGCATCTGTGCACTAAATGAGGATTTTGTGGCCCACCACTTATTTTTATACAGCCCTAAGAATGGTTTTTAGATTTGTAAATGGTTGAAGAAAATAATTTAAAACATTCATGACTTGAAAATTACATAAAATTCAAACTTGCATATTTACATAGCCACCTTCATTTACATACTGGCTTTATTTCAGATTACAAAGGAAGAGCTGAGAAGCAACAACAGAGACCACCTGTGGTCTGCAAAGCCTAAAATATTTACCCTCAGACTCTTTACAGGGGAAATTGCTGATGTCTGCTTAAACTATTCTACTTAAGGCTTCATACATATGAAGTGCTGAAGTAGATATCTACTGAAAAAACGAGAAAATGGTTCCTATATTCAAGATGTACTCAGTCAGGTAACATACAGAGATGAGCAAACACACTTAACATATAAATGATTGTAATGAATGGAATTTATAGTGTATCTTTTTTTTTTGATCACTTTCTTATCATATTCTAAACAAACTAAACTTTAGGGGGTCTCAATCAAAAGGAAGAGAGAGCTCACTTTATAACCCCATGATATATGTATGAAATTAAACTACACAACAGATCTACTTCATTGAACAGGAGTGCTAATGAGGTGCTCAAAAACATTCTTAAATGTACTGAGTTCTTTCATTTCAGTCCTAATTCCCTTCATACTGTGTCTGTCCAATTGGAGGCCCATGTGAATAGACTTCTTTCATTCTAAGTCTTTTCCCTAATTCCTACTATATGGCTCCTCTCAACACTTTTATTTTTTTTTATTCATATGTGCATATAATGTTTGGTTCATTTCTCCCACCTCCCTTACCCCCCACCCCCTCCCTTACCCCCCACCCCCTCGATACCCAGCAGAAACTATTTTGCCCTTATCTCTAATTTTGTTGAAGAGAGAGTATAAGCAATAATAGGAAGAAACAAGGGTTTTTGCTAGTTGAGATAAGGATAGCTATACAGGGAGTTGACTCACATTGATTTCCTGTGCATGTGTTACCTTCTAGGTTAATTCTTCTTGATCTAACCTTTTCTCTAGCTCCTGGTCCCCTTCTCCTATTGGCCTCAGTTGCTTTAAGGTATCTGTTTTAGTTTCTCTGTGTTGAGGGCAACAAATGCTATTTAGTTTTTTAGGTGTCTTACCTATCCTCATACCTCCCTTGTGTGCTCTCGCTTTATCATGTGATCAAAGTCCAATCCCCTTCTCACAACACTTTTAAAAATGACATTCATTTCTTAGCAAAAAATACAATTGAAACAGAATTTTTTTTTTTTTGGCAGTACGAGGGTTTGAACTCAAGTCCTACACCTTGAGCTACTCCACTAGTTCTCTTTTGTGTTGAGTATGTTCAAGATAGGATCTCACAAACTATTTGCCCTGGCTGGCTTGGAACAGTAAATTCCTGATCTCTGCCTCCTGAGTAGCTAAGATTAAAGGTATGAGCCATTGGACCACCCAGCAAAACAGTTTTCATAAACATAATATAGTCTTTAAGACAGTACTGTATGTAAGAATCTTTGGAGAGTAGCTGTCTAATGTTTGACCCGGAGGCAAATAAGGGCAATATCTGAGGGAGTTTGGGAGTGGTAAAATAAATCAATAAACCAATAACACAACCATATCAAAAGTGACCAAAGAACAAATGTTATTTCTAGAGAGAATGACCTATCTGCTTGGCATCTTCATTTCCTGGCTAATTTCTAACCAGGAAGGCAGTTACAGTTCTAATTTACTTGTTTTTAAATAAATATATGGGAAAATGCAGATGTGCTAAGAGTATCAATGACAAGAAATAATCATACCCTCTCCTCCAGTCTAGCCAGCTGCTCTTTGTAGAATGCATCCTGCTTCTTTATTATCCGGTCTTTCTCTTCCAGCTGCCTAGCCTAAAAAAAGAAATGAGGAATATACTATATCAAGAAAAGCCAGCAACAGCAAAGCAAAAGTCAAGTATAAATTTCATTAGAACTAAGTACAGAAAGCTGACAATTTTTGCAATCTATTAGGTCTCTGCCATAGAAAAACATTAATATGATGATGATTGCCATATTTAAATGTGAGAATGAGACTGCATTGTATTTTTTTTTTACTGTAACAGCTGTGTCCTACTTTGTCCAAAAGAATACAGCACACAACAGATTGTATTATTTAAGTTCTCTTTCAAAGAGTAATTTTAAGTAGTAATATTTTTTTACATGAAAACTTTGATTTTTATTTTGGGAACAAGATACATGTCTACTAACATTCTTGAACAACAGCATAAAAATTCCTATAATATAAGCCTCAATATGTGCGAACTCTTAAATTACCCAGTGAAACCTCCCTATAGATTCATGTATTATTCTATTTCCTTATTTATGAAGAAGTAGTCTGAGGGAGGGAAAAGTCAAAACTATTATAATTATTTATTTGAATAGGTACTAATTTAGGTACTAATTTATAAGATCTTATTTTACAAAATTAACAAAACAAGCAATAAAATATTTTGACTCTAAAAAATAGTAAAGATTGATGTTTTTCAAGATTAGCTTTAAAAAATGCATTTCTTGAACTGTTGTTGGTATCGTGAACTATGTTTAATTGGCCTGTATCCCTAATGGAAGAGACGCCCGTGTATCATTTGGAGTTAGAAAAATTATGAACGTATTTTTTTCAGTGAATGCTAAACACATGCCTGAGTACTACTTATATTTTGGCATTCCCATCTTTGCATATGCTGCATTCTTCTGCAAAGTGTTTGTAGCTTGGCTTAGTCTGTATTAGGGTATTTGTCCACTCAACTCTCTGTCTAGCTTGCTTCAATCCATTTGCACATTTGTAGGTTGTTTTGTTACTTACTTTGTCTTCAATATCCTGCAGCATGTTAAAAACAAACAAACAGTTATTTAACAATATAAGTACCATTTTTTCCTAATGTCAAAGAGAAATTTGATGGGCAATATCTAAAATGCAAACAAAAAAGGCAATGGGGAAATAATAGGATAAGACGCATACCTTGGAACAGATTTAAATGTCATTGTGCGCTTATAGTTTAAATACAAGATTTCAATGAAAAGTTCAAGCTGCTTTAAAGTGTATGAATAAATAGAAACAATTACAGTACTAAGATTAAATAAAAATGCATTCATATGCAAGGACATAATCTATGGCTCCTTGCTACATAAAAAAATCCTACTAGTCTGTTAGGAATATAATAGGAAACATAATGCAGAAAGAATTTCTGACAGACAAAGCTAAGTAAGAAAAAAATATGTATCACTATACAATTTAAACAGAAAAGATCTTCAAATTCTATGCATATGATTGAAAAAAAAAAAAAAAAGGAAATGGAAGAGAATAGACTCCATAAAACAAAATCAATAAAAAAAATGAAATCAAAAGAGTAAGCAAGTAACACAAAGAGGAAAAGAAAGATATAACTGTGAAAGCATATAGAACACTTAAAATAATAAGCTTTCTTCCCTTCTCCCTCCCACCCCATCCCTAAAGCCAAAACACATAAATAAGAGACTGGTAATGCATACACACAAACATTAAAAATAACAAGCACACATGAAAAAAAAAAATCTACTTGCATAGGAAATCAAAGAATGTAAATTAAAATAAGGCTACATTACTCATCTGTGAAATTGATAAAAATGTAAAATTCCAGAAGTTAAAATTGGCAAAAATATAGGAAAACAGGGTCTCCTCTACACTACCGGCCAGAATAACTATATAATTTATTTATCTGACCAAATGTACTAAGTCTTAAAAATGTGCATATGAACTAAGACCTAAAACTCTACTTTTAGGACTTTTCTGAAGTAGTTACAACATATGCAAAGATGTCCATTATAGAACAGTTGAGAACTGCAAGAAAACAAAACCCAAATCAATAGTTAAGTAATACATATATGCAAAATATACAAAGTAAAAATGAAAAAGACTACAACAGAAAGGACAGCATGATCTCTTCTGAAATGAGGGAAAAAAAGACCAGAAGGGTATTCTACAAAATGTCAATAGAAGTCACAATACTGAGCTAAGGTTTATGGGTGGCTTGCATTATATTACTTACATTTTCAGAATTAAAAATAAACATACTTTGAAGTCAAGGGCTAAAACAAAGGATTTTCAAAGATGAGGATATGAGTATTTTTCTGTTTTGTGGTGGTCATTGCACAATTGAATGTATCTGTCAAAACTTAGACCTGTGTTTCAAAAAGAATGAATTTCCTTATATAAAACTTTAAAAGTAAATATAAATTAAGCATACTAAAATTTATAAAATAGCTGTAAATATATGGATGTGTATACAAATATTATTGTTAATCTTAGCATGTGGCCAATTTTACTTCTAGGCATTCAATTGTAGCAATTATTAAGAAAAGTAAGTATGAATTTATAATGACCAAGATGCAAGTAGCATTATTTAAAGCAACAGCAAAGTGAAAACAATAGAGATTTGGGCAAATTTGATATGGCCCAATAGTAGGAAATTTTATCATAAAAATTTTAGCCTAGTCATATGATCAAACATTAGAAATCACTAAAAACTGATGTTTAAGTAGAATAACCTTTTTAAGATTAAAAATATTAAGTGATGAAAACACTCAAGTCATAAAATAAATATCAAGTACAGTAAATAATTCACTTTGAGTAAGAAATGGTAAAGGGGGAACAGAAGGTAGAGAAAGAAAAAACTGAGTCCTAGCTACACAGACATGGAAAAAGTATAAAGTATGGTTAAGATATGCATAGTGGGCAATGTGTCTTATTTGGGCTAGTCCCTATTTTCTACAATGAACAGTTCTTACTTTTGTAATCAGAAAAAATTAAATCAGTATTAGTATATTTATCATTAAGTATGAGATGTAAATATAAATTGGTAGAGAATCTAAAAGAGTAAACTATGAAATAATTATAGTTTACAACCTCAAAAATTTGCTTTAACGTCAAGTTATAGAAATTATTTTACTTCCTAAATCCTTAATGTATTATTAACACCTGTTTCTCTTTACATTCAATGTATGATATCTGCTAAAGCTGTTAAAACACTCACACTGTATAATGTTTCTTTTGTTCACAAGATTTCCAAAATAGGCAATGAGATCACAATGGATATTCCATTATAGTTATTTAGAAAACACTAAGAATTGCAAGTATATTGCTTGTGTCTACAGAGGACATTGCCACAATCAACAAATTTAATTTTGAAGAGCTGATTACAACCAAATAAAGAATATAATGAAGTATCCTTATTCACTTTTATAAGATATATAATCTGTGAAAAAATTTAAAGCAACACACCAGTATCAGATATGTACACTAAAGACCAAAGGACGATACCACCAAAGACCTAACAACATCAGGCCATAGCCTAACATCACAAATCTTTCCCTCAACTGCAAACAGAATCAATATTTGAGATCCACTGGGGAGAAGAACAAAGCAAGAAACATGGCCATAACACTTTAACGGCACCTTGCTTTGAAACAGTTAATGGGATGCTGGGAGGAAAAGTCACACGATATGAATCCTGAAACTTAAATAAGCTAAGAATACACTGACTAAGCTAATAGCTACTGAGCATGGAGAGTCACACGCAATCTAAGTAAATGCAGTAAACTGACTGCAAAGAAATAAAAGTCTCCATAGAACTAACAGACATAGGACTGTGGTAAATGAATTAAAAAAAAACCAATATTATGACATTATTGTTATGGTTGGATTGTTTCTTATAGGAAAAATATTAAAGTAATCCCCATCTCCTGTTGGTTATCCCTACGAGAAATGTAAACTGATTAGTTTTCAGGTTTTGTTAGATCTGGGATAACATGACTGGGTTTGAAAATATGACAGCATACGCTTAAGTGAATCATTATGGAAATCTAGAACCTTCCCATAAGGAAGAAAAACAAAAACAAAAACAAAAAAAAGGAAATCAAGTTTTAAGAAACACAACACAAATATTTTGGTGTCTTAACTCAGTGTCGGTCGTCAGATTAAAAATGAAGTACACATGCATTTACTTCCTTGAAGACTTGACTCTTTTCAGAAAGAAGGACTTTAAACTGCCTTACAGCAAAGGCTAGAGAGAAAACTAGGATTATGGATGTGGCATATTGTGCTGATAGGAACTTTACCTTCCCACGTATATTCTTGGGTAATTCTTCATGGCACAACCTTTTTGGCATTACTGTCCTCTTGTAGTCCCTAGGTTGCTCCTAGGGACTCAGGTATGGCACAAAGTACATGGCCTTGGGAACCCAATGACATCACAATCACTTAGCTCACAGGTAATACATACTGTTACTTCATACATCAAGTACAATGCATGTCAAGACAAGATTCTGTGCTCTGGGAAAACGTGTGTTGTTTGAGTGACAAAGGTCTTTGAAATGTCGGTACTCAATTTTAAAAGCTGGAGGTAGAAAACAAAACAGGTACTTGCTCAATTTTCCATGAGATGATACTAGGAAGCCAGATATTACTAGGATTGAGAAAAAGCAACAATTATAAATCACTATGCCTACAAACATATTTCCTTTCATTCTATAGTTTTTTTTTTTTTTAGTTATTATTTTTATGGTGGCACTGGAGTTTGAACTCAGGGACTCATGCTTGCTAGGCAGGTGCTCTTACTGCTTGAACCACTTCATCAGCCCTTTCATTTTAAACATAGCAACATTCTGAAATGATTAATCATGATAATATGGATAATCTGTAGTACACAAATTCTATGTATCTCACAACTCACATAGGCATATCAAAAACGAGTAGGAAAGGATCTTTATCCTTTGTCAAAACTATATATGAGGCACAATATTTACAAACCCACTTAAAGTATATGCTTACATAAAACAAAGAAGAATGAAATATCAAAGGGGGTTGAACCATAGAC